ACGGTCTTTCCTGCTTCCACTGCCCCCCCCTCTGCTTTTCCACCTTCCCCACTCTCCGACAGTCTGGCCAACTTGTTGGCAGTCCTCCGGCCTAGGCTTTTCTGAGCTGAAAGGGGAATGGGGCAACTTTCTTCCCAGGTACCCCAACATCCATGTTTGGTGGTGGAGGAGGAGGGGTGGTATGCTTTTTAGAAGAAGCTGTGGGAAGACCCTGCAGATAGCATGTTCAGAGCTCAAGGGCAGTGCTGCTGTCCTGCTCTTCCCCAAGGACAATCTGGTGGGTTTTTTTAAGGGGAGGAAAAAAACAGTCCCACAGGGGTCTGAAAAGAGCAGCACAGTCCATGTGAGAAATCTGTAAGAAGCTATTGGCAATATCAGATCTGAGTCATTCCAAAGCAGATGCTCTTAACGTTTGTGCCAAAGCAAAAACTAAGCTGGTGTCAGCTGGCCAAGCACGTCTGCCTTGGGAATTGACAACCGTGGAGAGGCTGAGGATGGAGGATTCCCCTCCTCCTCCTATTGCCACCTCACATCATTTGAAATTATTGCAGGAAGAGAGACTACACAATCCTGAGCAAATACCAGGGAGGCAGAGAGAAAGGGCATGGAAGGGGTTGGGGCGGCTGCTGCACGTGGGCCAGCTTTGGGAGCAATGCTAGAAGCAGAGCTGGCACGAGGGCACAGGGGAGACGCTGGGATGAGGGAGGGCAGCACTTGTGAAGAGGATGTGTTAGAGCTGACGGGCTTTAAGGGCATCTGCATATAAATATATGTGCAAACTTGGCTGAGGTATTTCTCTCATCCGTCCGTGTAAGCAGGTCTGGCAGGTGGTCCTCTCCCCTTGTGGATACCAATGTCTGAGGAAGAGAGTTATCCCTTCCCAGCCATCCCTTAGTTAACACACAGCTCCACTAGGCATTCTGATTAACCTCCAAACTGATCAGCTAACAGATCAAACTGCCCATGCACTGCCTGACAAGCAAAATTATCCAAGCTGGGGCAGGATTTTTGTCTCAGTGTTGCTCCATGACATAAGGCAAGTCCTGTAGCCTCACTCTACAGCTGATGCTATCGTTTGCTCCAGTGGCAAGGGGAGCAAGACCTGTCTATGCAGTGCACTAAAATACAAGGCTCTTCAGGACTACATTAAGCATGTGGACTTATTGCCTGCATCTTCTGCAAGCAGAGTCTCGTGCCTGTTTCACTGGGCTGAGACATGGATTATGCCCAGGCCTGAAATATTTAACCCTCCATGGCAAGAAATAGGGGGTGCAGGAGATTGCTGGTCCTACCTTACAGCACTGGACCATCTCTTGGGCACTGAATGGCAATGGCCGGTCCCTGCTTTCCTTGCTGACTTCGCACAACCGTTCCCTCTGCGTGAGTGGATTCAAGCTGCTACAGCCAGCCTGGGGGAAATCCCCAGAAAACCTGGCAAAGCTGCAGACTCCCACTTCTGTAAAGAGAGGCGTGTACAAGTTAGGCATCAGCTCTCTTACGGCTGCCTCTCACCTTAGGCAGCATGAAAAGAAAGCTGTTGTAGCACAGTCCGGTTGAGCACACAGGGTGTGATGAGACACACTTCCCAAAAGGTTTGTAGCACCTCAGTTAGCTTTGTCTGGATCAGAAGCCCTGACTCCCCTAATTTTAGATTGGGAAAACCTAGTTCCTCTTATCAGCGAGTGAATAACATGTTAAGGGTAAGATTTGGCTATTCCAGTCTCCCAGGGAAAGCTTTTTGGTACAGTTCTGTCTTGTTTACAGGCTGTGCTAGGACATCATGGGACACCAATCCTACCTTGTCCTGGCAGGAATTTGCTGAACGTGAAGCTCCAGGTCTCACATGGGTAAAGGTCCAGCAGAGTAAGTCCAAGGACACACAGGGCATCCATGGGCTTGTTGTTCTTCAGGAAATTCAAGATCCCATCTGGACAAACACAAGAGATGTTCATTAAAATGAAGCATTCCTGGAAGGCAAGCAAGAACCAGAATTTCTGCTGCTTGTGGGGAGAAGGATGTAATCCAAGCCAAGACAGGCAGAGCTGCTGGATTCAGCATCTCAGGTGGAGAACCACGGCAGTGTAGCTCATCCCTTCAAACCAGAGTATAGGCAGACTTGACTTTGAAGTGGTGCTGAGCACAGAGTAAAACAAGCAGAGCTAAGGGCAGAGCTGTAGGTGAATTCAGTGCTAACCCATGGACATAAGCACTTAGCAGTAGAAGAATTTCGCTCCATGCGTTTGAGACCTGAGCTGGAGCAGCCAGTGCGGTGCTGGGCCTGTGCTGAGCACGTGCTGCCCGCGGTACCTGCAAGCAGCTTGTTCCAGATGGATGTTTGTGCGGTGCGAGTCTGGCAGCTGACAAACCCGTTTCCCTGGGGAGCTATGTGACACTTGAACCCAAATTTCCTAACATGAAAGGCCAGTGAGTTCCCCACCTGCGCCACCCAGGCCACTCATTTACTTTGGCTCTGGACAAGAGATCGGAGAACTCAGACTACACCAAATCAACGGTGCCTTCCCGCAGAGCCCATCCGATCGCTTTGCAGAGCTGGACCTAAACATAATAGCACTGCAAAAATTACAAACAGCAGAGGAAAACGATGAACGTCACTTCGTTTTTTATTCCTGTTTCCAGCCTCAAAGTTCTGGGTTTTCCATGGGAACAGGATTTCTCCCTTCTCACTCCCTTCCTCATCCCCTCCCTGCTCAGGCAACGAAGGGCTATTTCAGGCATTTCCTCAGGGAGGGCTGCTGCCCGCATGCCAGGCTGATGTCTCCAGGGGCTCCCCGCTCCCAGGTCCTTACCTGCGTGAAGCTGCACCCTGTCTGAGTCCCGGCTGTGACGGTAGCAGCAGTGAATGGAAGAGATGGGGATGGAGGGAAGGCACTTGACACGGAGACCCAGGAAGAAAGACTCCACACAGCTCTGGAGGGAATCCAGCAGTGAGAGCCCAGCAGGCCCTTCGATCAAGTCTAAGAAGAGAAGCTCTGTTAATCAGTTTCTTAAAGCCTGGGTGAGCCACAGGGTCTGAAGGGGTTTTGTGGGGCTGGCCACAGCAACTGGGGAAGAGAAAGGCTGGCTCATGCCGAAGTTAATTGCTTACTCTGGGATGTGACAGACATTTCTAGATGGTTATATAGATATGGAGGAGAAGGGGCTCGAGGCATTAGTACGCTTTCTCATTAGCAGAGCAGATGTGCTAGGAAAGCTGTCTCCTATTTAAGTTGTGCACAAAGATTAATGTGGGAACGGGTGGCTGTTTTTAATGAACTACCAGGGATGGAGCTCTGGAAATGCTGTTTTATCCAGCGTTGTTTTACAAATAGATATATATGCATGTATGCATACATATATTCACAGCACGTCTCACCCAGGGGCACACATACCATTTACAGGGCAGGTCTACTGGTGGTTGTCATCATGGCTTGTGACTTTGGACTGGTGGCGTGTCAGAGCCTTTGGTATTACACTTAACCTTTGCTATGGCAGTTGCATTTTGCAGGTTAGTTGTTAGAAGAGGATGTTAGTAACGTTCAGCACCACCCACCTCCCTCCTGTATCTTTCTAGGCGGCTCAGTGAGGATGCCCGCATTACCTATAGGTTGCAGGTAAATGTGCTTTCGATAGAAGTTCTGCTTCCTCCTCAGCATGGCATGATAGAATGTCTCAAAGTCCTCGGGGGCATCAGGGTGGCTGAGGAGCCAGTCAAAAGCCGTCCGGATGAGCAGCGTGCAGAAGAGCGTTCTCTGTGGGTTGTAGGCTTCGGAGAGGAACAGCTTCTCTGCCCTGGAGAAAGCTTTGGCATAGAGCTCCTGCAGAGCTGGGTTGGTGGAGATCAGAGCATCCTTCAGAGCTCTGGGCCCGAAGCTGAATTCCTGAGCGTGTTTGCACTGCAGCATCGCGGAGAGACCCACCGGCTGTGGCACTGCCTGCGGCAGAGGATACAACCATCGGCACGTGGCCTCGTGAGGGACCTGGAAACCTTCTCACCCTTTCCCTCAAAGCAGGTTGCCCCAAGACCCCAGCTGTAAGGTTTGATTTGAAGCTTATAAATGCTGTACATCGTGCTGGCCAGGAGCCCTACGCATTTACGTGAGAGCAGCTGTTAAAGGGTGCTCTACCTCTGCCTGTATGTCCGTGGTTTATGGACAATGTACCAGTAGATGGTGCTCAAGAATGCATAGCCCCATTATTGCTACCAGATGTCTGGATTAAATCAGAGCGTTTGATTGATTTTTTTTTTTTTTTTGGTGTTCTATCCTGAAGTCCCAATAACACGGGAAATACCTCTATGTACTGTGCAGCTGGCTGCTCTGGCCCTCATATGATGTCGAAAGGTGGTGGTCCTTGCTGCTTGGGGCTGCTAAAGGCATAGGTCCATGGCGGGAAAGAAGTAGATCTTGGTCTTGATTTATCTATCTAGCAGAAGCCTAAACCTCTGACATACCTGCCACCAGTGAAAGCAGCTGTTCTCTGTTGACTGTTTCCTCTACCAGCTTTTAATCCTCACTCGCAGGTATTGCCCTGGGACATCTGCCGGCTCCCACTGCTGTTGTCAGGCTGCGAGATGCGGGAAGGTTTGCCCAGCCTGATCCACAGGTGGGACCTGGTGTGCGAGACTCGTGTTTGCTGGTGCTGCCTCTCTAGCAAGATATGTACGGGCCCATTGCCATCCTGTCGCTTCATGAATAACTTCGTGTCAAACCGTGTTAGCATCAAGAATGCTGGTGATGATGTAAAGTGGTAAATAAAGAGCAAACAAAAGCCTGCAGCAGGAAGAAATTAATTCAGTGTGTCCCAGAAATATCCTCTCCGGGGTCCTTTCTAAGGCCAGCGTTTTCCAAAGCTGAAGAAGTCAAGCACTATTTCCCATTGCAGTTCATGCACTTACGGAGATTCCAGACGTCTCGGGGAAAAGGAATAAAAAGAGGAAACAAAGTACAACCCCTAGGGCTAACCTATGTCTGGATTTTTCCAAGACATTCATTTTTTGTAAGGAGATCACGCCAAGTAGAACTAGAGTAGTTTGGAGCATTGCTTTGGGCAGTCGCCTACCGCAGGTAAGTGCTCCGCCTGTATACAGCAGAATGAAAACTACACAGGTACATATGCACAAAAGCACAGGGTTTCTAGGAATAAGTAATATCTTCTATTAGGCAAGTTAATACTAACTTAAAAGAAACCAGACAAGCTTTCTGGGTGGATAAGCAATGTGTCAGCTGCTGACCATCATAACAGCATCACTGAATCACAGGAAAAAAAAAAAGAAAAGGGAAAATATTTTTAGGAGGAACTGGTTAAGTCTGTAATTCAAGTAGGTCTGCAGCCTAGCTCTGTCAGGTAAACGACATTCAGTGGCCCTTGAGGACAGCAATACAACAAGAAAATTCAGTATTTAAAAAATAGTACCAACATGAGCCAAAGTCTTTCCTCAGTTATGCACAGAAGACTCTGGTAGTTTGCACCGTAAGAGAAAGGCGGCAGCCTGAATTTCTTTATGTCTAACGCTTGGGAAGATAGGCATAGGTATAAGCAGTCCTTAAAAAAGACTTGTTCTGTATGATCTTTTTTGGTGCTAAGGGTATATAGCCTAGGAGAGGGAGCGGGTAAGCAGGTTTGGTTTTGCAAGCTTTGTATTTCTCTAGCACGAAAGGCTGGCAGCAGACGGCGGGATCTGAAGTGGTACAAGGGCCCTAATTGAATGAAAGTTTAGAAATAAAGTCCACTATGCTTCCTCAGCCACCTCTTCTTATTGCCCAAAAAATGTCCGAAGTGCTTCTGCTGATTTTCACAGGTAGCATCAAGAGTTCGCGTGAAGGTGTTCTGCGCTTTGTCACCCAAATCTCTACGCTTCTGACTTGCTTCAGATTTGGGAGGATGAAGTGAGAGTCTGACCCCACCAGCTCATCAGGAGTTTTGCCTTGGGTTAGGGTGAAGATTTGCCTTTTCCTAAGGGCAAGATTTCACTTGGTCTGCACACACCTTAAACGCAAGCATCATTTTTCCAGACACATGCAGAACCTACGCTCGGAGACTATCAGCAATATTAAAATGACTGAAGATGTGGTCCTGTGAGCTACCGATGGCCTATTGCTCCGAGGGAAATCAAGGAGAGACTTTGCACTTGGTCCAGGTTGAGAGTGATCTTGTCAAAGAAGGTTTCTGAGAAGCACGAGCCCCTTTCATCAGTGCTTCCTGACAATAAATGGAGTGTGGGTCTGGGGGAGGAGGAGCTGGTTAGAAAATGAATGGATTTTTCTCTTCTACATGGGAAGTAGCAAAGAGTGGATGTAGGCAACAGCAGATACAATGAGCGCACAGTCTTTTAGCCTGTGTTCCCCCGGGCTTTCATGGAATACAATGTGTACCCAAAGCTATGGGATATACGTTGTTCCCAAGGCTTCCTGAAAGGGGACATTCACCCAGCTCCAGACATTCCCAGCTATGACCATGGGTGTTTTGTGAATGTCCACCATGCCCAAGGATGTCCATGATTATGCTTCAGTGGTTTGAAAGCCCAAGCACAGGAATTTACTTGCAACGCAGAGTCTGGAGCGATGCGTGCCTCCTTCTCCTGGAGACTCTGCGTTTGCTTTCAACAGAATAGCAGCAACCCGTTACGTTCTCCAAATCCAACACAATTACTTCTCTTTAACAAGCTGTTTCTAAAATACTTCACTGGAGAAAATGAATGCCTCAGAAAATTTTTATGGACAACTTTAGCAGTTTAAAAAAGAAACTCTTTTACTACATTAACTACAGTAGATGTTATTTGTGCTTGATCTAATATATGGATATAGTGTTTCATTAACTGAAGTAGTGCAAAAGGGCTTTCTATTTTTTTAGCTCTTGTGTTGAGGATGCCTTGTATAACTCCCTGATGCAGTGCT